CCCTTTCTAAAGCCCCGGGACACCCCGCCCCCACTCCCGGACACGCAGACGCAGAGCTCGAGGCCAGAGCTGAGGCGCAGACCCACCGGTGCCCAGGCCGCCAGACTTCCCGGCCGGGGCAGTCTCTGGAGCCCCCTTGCTGGGAGAGCAGGATGCTGCAGTCCCCGGGTCCTTAGGCCTCGGCGGCGGCCGGAGCGCCCGAGCTGAGCGAGACAGGGGCCGGGAGCCCGGGGCCGACCGACTGGAGCCCGGGCCTCCTCGCCCCCGCCCCCCCAGCTGACTCCGCCCCTGCCGGCCGGCCGCCCCCTCGGCCCGGCGCCACCGCGGCCCCTGCCCCCCGAGCCCGGCGGCCGCATGTCCCCGCAGAGCGGCCCGCGACTCTCCCCTTCCTCTCCTCACCCCGGCGGCTCTTACACAAACCGCTGCCTCCCAGGCACCCCCACCCCCCCACTCTCCGCAGGTTCCAGAGTCGTCCCCTCCCCTCCGGAGACATATCGCAGAGCAAAGGTCCCGGCCCGGCCCGGAATTGCGACACCGGGCCCCAGCTTGCTTTCCCAGTCTCCCTCCGCCTTCCCTGCCTCGGGAAGGGACCGAGCAGCTCTCCCCATCTCCAGGCCGGGGCCAAGCTGAGAGAACTCCAGGGGTGGAGACGGGCAGGTTGCTGGGCCTTCCAGGGAGTTTCTGACTGTGGGTGCCCTGCACTGGGGGCGGGGGGTGGCGCTCCGAGAGGGGAAGAAGTTGTGGGGGGGAGACAGGGGTGGAAAGAAGTCGCTTCAGCACTGGATGGTCTGGGATGGGAGGCTGTAGATCTGGGTACCAGCCTGGGAGGACCTGAGAGGGTGTGCAGGAAGGGTTCCATCACAAGTGAGGGCAGGCCCTGTCCAGCTTCTCCTGAGACCATAGCCCTGCCTTCCTGCCCCACTGCCTGGAACACCGAAGGTGTTCTGAAGGTGGACACCTCATTTTATTGATTTTACCTCCCCTGAAACAGAACCTGACAGACAGTAGAAACAAGAGTACTGTGGTTCTGTTTGTTGAATGAATAAGTAAACAAGGAAAACAGTGTGATCCTCTTCTATCCTATACTTGTTAACTCGAGTCAGTTTTATCTCCACAACACTGCTTCAGTGCATGGGCTCTGAGCTCAGATTTTGGGTTCAAATTTGGGCCTTGCCTCTGCCTCTTATTTGCTTTGTGATCTTGATTAAGTGGGCTTTCCTGCTGGCTCAGGCTGGAAGAATCCGCCTGCGATGCAGGAGACCTGGGTTTGATCCCTGGGCTGGGAAGATCCCCTGGAGGAAGGCATGGCAGCCTACTCCAGTATTCTTGCCTGGAGAATCCCATGGGCAGAGGGGCCTGGTGGGCTACGGTCCATGGGGTCGCAAAGAGTCAGACAGGACTGATGGACTAAACACAGCACATACCACTTAACTAAGTTACTTAATGTCTCTGAACCTCTGTTTCCCTATCTTTATAACAGGGATAATAATAATAGTGGTTTTTACCACAGAAGGTTGTTGTGGCAATTAAACAATGTATCAGATGTATCGGACCTCCTAAGAGTACTAGAGACGGTAGCAGTGATCAACCTCCCAATTCCTTCAGCAGTGGGTCTTTCCCATCACCTTGACTCTGAACACTATTAATCTTCCAGTGCTTATTTCCGTATACAACCCCCTCACTATCTCTTCTGGTCCTTGGAGCCGCCCCAGGAGGGAGGGAGGGTAAAGTAACTCTGAGCTCCATTGTTTTTTTCGGAGAACACTGAGCTCACGGCAGCGCCTTTTCCAAGACCACACACAGTGGCCGAGCTGGGATGGGAATCCAGATGTCCTCACTCCAGTCCCTGTCCTCTTTCTCCTGCGTCAGAGTCCAGGATGCTCATCTCGGTGCCTCTCAGGTCTGCTGGACCAGTGCAGTGCTGAGATGGACGGAGCGGGGGCCCGGGGAGCTGCAGTGGGAGAGGCGGGGTCCCTGGGGATGCTTCGGTGCAGATGTGGGAAGCAAGGGGCTAAGGTTACTGCGGGTTGTTCCCCCCCCACCCCCCACCCCACTCCCAGTTTCCTGCTCACAGGCTCTTCCTGTTTTGCTGTGAACTCCAGTTCCCATGGGTCCCACATTAAAGCAGAGGACAGGAGGCCAGGGCAGGCAGCCAGAGGGACAGACACGGAGATGAACAGGGCAGCAGGGAAGAAGACAGGAGAGGGAGCAGAGCAAGAGTGGACACGGGGTGGGGGGGGAACAGGATGGGAGAGGTACCGGGCCAGGAGAAACAGAAAGGCGCTTGGTGAAAGATGGGAGGAAGCTCAGGGTGGGGCAGGGGGAACAGGCGGAGGTTGGGGAGCAAAACTTGAGAAGACAGCAGGCTGGGCGGTGTTGCAAAATCTGCCCATGTATTCATTTTCACTTTTCAGAAAAGCCCCTCTGACACCCCCCATCTCAAAGTTCTGCCTCCAGCTTTTGCTCTTGTTCCCTCTCATCACAAGGTCATCTGCTCACAAGGCCGGCACCCCGGGCTGGGCATCTCTGAGTCATGAGCACAAGGCCCCAGCTGTCCTGGGAAAGTAAGAAACCAGGGACTGTGGCTCTTGGGCAACTGGCACTGTTCCGTCTCAAGCACACACACCCTCTCCTGGCTCCCTGCTCCTCCAGTGGACGGAGAGTCAGCGGTGCCCGAGACACCTCTGGTCTGGGGTCTGATGACCTATCTTCTGGGAGTCGGGAGAAGACCCTCGTTTGCTCCAGATCCTCAAACCCTCTCCTCACAGCCTTGTCTCCCAACAGGCCAGGTCCGAGGACCACACGCGAGCTGCCTCTGTGGCCCTCTGACCCAGGTCAGAGCCGGCTGCTGAACAAGCAGCTTAGGGCGCCATCTCTCCCACGTCAGGCAGTCAGCCTCAGCCTCGTCACGGAGGAGGAGGAAGCGTGCCTGCCTGAGTTACCCCTTCAGGTTACAGGGGTTCAGGAGCCTCCCCCGCATGAGGGGACAGCAAAATAGGCGAAGACCAAAACCCGTTGGTGGTCTCTTCACCGGGGTCCTGAAGACTTAACGACTGGAACCTGTTCCCCAAGCCAGGGCAAGCAGTCAGTTATCTGCAGCGGGAATCACATCTCACTTTGCCAGACCCCCAAACCCACCCCAGGCCTACCAGTCTCCAGGAGGTGTCGGGTGCAAGGCCTCCCCGTCCCGTGGGGGCTCTCCTGCGTGCTTCCTCCATCCCGAGAGGAGGCATCCTGCCTGGGAGCTCCATTTAAGACCTTCCGGCTCCCCACAACCTCCAGAGGGAATCTGAAGCCCAGACAGGCGCATCCCCCAGCCCATGGTCACATGCACCACTAGATAACTCCCCTGAAAGCGCTCCCCTGAGCAGGCCACAGGGTACAGATGGCGGTAGGGAGGAGGCGGGCAAGGGCTCCCTGCAGCCTCCCTCACGATTCTGGAAGGCTACAAAGTGTGTGGGGTGGGTGCGGGGGTGCGGTCATCTCTCAAGCCACCCAAGTAACTTCTCAACCTCCCAAATCACAGGACTGGGAAGAACCCAGGAATTCCAGGTCTGTGAGTTCAGAGATGACATAGACGGCAGAAAGGAAAAAAAGAAAAGTAACATTTATTAGGCCCTACGACATACATTTATCTTTACATGTATTATTTTATTTCTCCTTATATATAAAACCCCAAGAGATAGTTACTAGCAGGAGGGGAAATCTCAGATTTGAACACAAGTGTAGCTGACTCAAAAGCCAAACGCCAACAAGAAATTTCAACCTCACTCCATTACACAAAATTACCTTCCCAACTGGGAAAAACAATGAACTCACACGGATTTAGGTTCATTTCTGCCAACAAAGGGTAGAGCAGTGGTTCTCAAACCTGGCCTCCTTTTCAGAGATTCTGATTTATTTGGCCTGAGGTAGGCCCATGTATCCGTCTACAAATCTATTCTTTCTGCATCTGTAGCTAAGAACCAAGGTGTGGGAACCACAGAACCACCTGGTGGAAAATATGCAGAAGCTGGGGGTCAAGAAACCAGGGCTCATCTCTTGGCTCTAACATGGTACTCGTGATGTAATCCTCACCCTTCCTGGGTTTAATTCTCACCATCAAAACTGAAATAATATCTTCTCCATCAATCCTTCCTACATCAGATATTTGCAGGCACAAAGAATACAGAAATATTTGAGCAAGTGGGGAAAAAAGCAAAAGATGAATTTAAGGGATTTTTGTTCTACATGCCAAAATTTAGTAAGCCTGGGATTTACACTCTGAAATCACAACGGTCTGGCTGCTTTGCAAGGAGAGTAAGGGGCATATTAAAATGAAATATTCAACAACTCCCATTAATATGCAGAATTTTGCCAATTAACCATGTCCTGTTCAACCCCACCCATGTGAAAAGGTTTCCTTTGCTAGAAATCTCTTTATTGAAAATATTTTGGGGCCACTGAATATAGTTAATGCAGTTTGAGTAGCCTGTGAGAAATAGCCCATTATAAGGGCTATTTGACTAGAAATCAGAAAACCTGAGTTTTAATCCATTCTCCTAAATTGTGTGACCTGAGACAAGTCACTTCCTCTCTTAGGATTTGTTTTCTTATCTGTGAAGAAAAGGGAACTAGGTTACATCAAGGATTCAGATGTTGATTTATGAAGCTTATTAATAGTTTTCATGAACTTCTTGGGATTGTGTGCAAAATTCTATTTGTGTGTGGACATTTTTCTGGAGGAGAGGAGACTAAATTTTCATCTAATTCATAAAGGGGCTTATGACTAAATAAGGCTAAGAACTTTGACTACCCAGCCTTCAGCTCTCAATTTCTATTCACTCCTCCGTAACAATTCCGGAAGCAAAGTTTAGATCCTGAAATATATGTAAATAATTCAATCTGGAGTCCTGGCAAAATAATGACTCTGCTTTCTTCCACATGTTCTGATCAGGTTTTATTTCTCCAACGATCTGAGGTAACTGGCTACTAGGGGGCAGATCTGAATCAAAGCATCTCAAGGGCCTTTGACCTGACTTCCTGGAGCAGTGAGTCCCTCCCCAAGCTCTCAGAGTCACAAAGATCTGAAGCCAGACTGGCTGCACCTATAATCCTAGCGGTGAGTGCCAAGCGGGCCTCTGTCTGATTCTGTGGAAAGCCCATCTACTCCTACTCTATGATATCCTCTTTTCCCTTACCCCTATAAATATCTCCCCACTGGTCTGAAATGTCTCCCCTGAGGATTCACTGCTTTAGTTTTGCAGTCTGAACATCCTGTGCAACCCAACTCGTTTGAGAAGAGGCACGGCATCGTGATTCTAATTATCTAAAACTTGGACGTGGACGGGTGGGAGGACAAGGAAAAGGACTGGAAAAGACAGCACCTTAGCTCTGCTCAGGAAATGAGCAGCAGGCTAGACTGGGACCAACCTCCGGCATACAGGAAGTCCAAAGGGCTGGTACACCCTGTGCCCTACACCCCGATCAAGCCTTCTTTCGGGGAATGGAGTCTACCCGAAGGTAGGCGTGTGGAGACAGGCGCCCCGGGCCACTCCTCGCCCCAATTCGGCACCGGCTCTGGCTGTAGGTCAAGCCCGGCAGCAACCCCCGGCCCAAGGGGGCGCTTGCTCTCCCCGCCACGATCCAACCGAATACAAGAGCCACCTTGGTACGGGGGTCTCCGTGGGCAGAGGCAAAATCCACGCTCAGGGGTCTCTTTACCAAGACGAGGTCTTCAAGCCCTTTCTGCCGGGCGAGGTGGCGCTACATTCCCACGCTCCTCCTCCACGGCAAGATCGCGAACCTCCTACAGGAATTCCCTCCCGGGTTCCTCCTCCCACCATCCCTTCTCCGCGCCTTTACCAAGATGGCGGCGAGCTCACTTCCGGCTTGTGTTCTTAAGGGTGCGTCCGGGCGGCTGCTGCAAGTGTCACCCAGAGGGTTCCAGCCTCTGTACTGCATAGACTACAGCGGTGATGGCGGGCAGGCGGTTTGGCTGGAGCCGGGCGGCTCTTCCCCAACTGATTCTTTGTGTGAACCTAATGGTGATGCCACCCACCCAGGCCCGGACTCTGCGTTTCGTTACCTTGGTAATGAGAGATGGGGTCGCCAAGGGCTGGCCAGTGCTAGGAGGGCACCGGCCTGCTGGTGGAGGGAGGGGCGGGGCTTTGCTGCGGTCTGGGGTCCGGAGTCTGGAGGAGGGGGGAGACGACTGGCCTGCGGGGTTGGGGGCCAGCGTTCGCAGTTTTTGTGAAGCCATGGGGTATTTAGGGTGGGGGGCAGGGTGAACGGAGTTCTGTGTTAGAGGACAGATTGCTGAGTCTGCCTTGGGACTGGATGTAGTTCAATGAATAATAAGAGATTCACTTCTAAAGCAACCTTTGGTGATTTTTTTTTTCCAGTTTCCCCCACCACCTGCATTACTTTCATTTCTTTCCCTTTCCCACCTGTACTTTCGGTTCTCCCAAGGTCTCCAGCGGCATTGCTTAGCTAAGTTAAGAGTCTCTGGAGGCTGCAAGAAGTTACTGACTTCTGAGTTGGGGTCTTTTGCAGTGGGTAGAGTTGAGGCTGTCAACATGGGGCATAGGTTGGCTCCGTGTCCACACCAAGGGGACCCTCCGACCTCTAGGCTAACCACTTTCTTTCCTCAGCTGTACCGACACGGAGACCGCTCTCCAGTGAAGACATATCCCAAGGACCCCCATCAGGAAGACAAATGGCCCCAGGGCTTTGGTCAGCTAACCAAGGTGGGTCAGGAGCCAGCTCTCTCTCAGGATGAGCTGTAGAACCGGTGACCTCTAGAGCAGGCTGCAGAACTCACCAAACTGCTTTTCCCCATGTGGGTGCTGACTTTGGCCACATTTCTTCAGCTTACTTTCATCCGTGCCCAGATTAAAATGGGCACACACAATGCATGCACAATCAACCCCTTAATAAACGACTTGTGGGATCAGATTAACCCACTCCTACTTCCAACCACAAGGTAGAAAGCAGCCACAGCTAAGCCCTATTGTTCTCCCGAGCCATCCCCTCCCTTCGCCTGGGCATCTTAACCCGTGGGTTTGCCCACAGGAGGGGGTGCTCCAGCACTGGGAACTAGGCCAGGCTCTGCGACAGCGCTACCGTGGCTTCCTCAGTGCCTCTTACCACCGGCAAGAGGTAAGGCTGCGAGCTCGGGAGCGAGAGGGGGTCGGCTGTTCTCACGCTCTGCCCTCAGGGAGACTGCCGGTGGCCCGGGCGCTGTGGCCTCCCCTCCATGCATCTCTGGTTACAGCTGCAGGACACGACGTCCATGGGCTGTCTGGAGCAAAACTGTAGAGGCTGAGTTGCCCCTGCTTGGCTTGGGAAGAAGCAAAACTGTTCAAGCATCTAAGCCCGGACTTAAGGGCCTCGCAGAGTAGTTTCTGACTCTGGGAAGTAACTCAGGCTTTCCATCCAAGTACTGTTTACGGGCCAGGCACTGTGCTGGCACTGCGTGTAACAGTGCATCAGCCAGATCCAATCTTTGTCTCTCGTGTTGTTACTGTTTCCTTGAGGGCCAGCCCTATCCTGCTCTGTCCTTTCTCAATTCTTCCTCCTTTTCACAAGCAGTTATCTCTGTTTCTCATCTTATTTCCTCTCCTGCTCTCTAAACCAGTTATTAAGGGGGAGNGGGGGGGGGGGGGCGGTGCGGGCATTGTGTGTGTGAAAGACAGTTTCTGCCCCCAAGGACCCGGGCCTCGATAAGGGAGACAGGTGTTGTAATAAACTAGGCAGGCTGGCAGGCAGACCCGAGGACCTTGCTGAGTAAGCACTTCGGACTGGGAGGGGCATTTGACCTAGAGCCGTTCCAGCAGGAATTCTTTGCAGATGCGGGGGACAGCAACCCCACCAGTCTTGGCTGGAAGAGGGGTGGGGAAGGCCAGAGAAGGGGAGAGGGCCAGACGCCTGGTGAATTTACAGTTTGCTGGGTGAACAGCAAAAACTGGGGCCCCACTGCAAGGCCAGAGCTGCCTGCACCCCCGACTTCCACAGGTGGGACTGGTGTTGCCACCTCTGCAGGTTTATGTGCGAAGCACAGACTTTGACCGGACGCTCATGAGTGCGGAGGCCAACCTGGCTGGACTCTTCCCGCCCGACGAGATGCAGCGCTTTAACCCAAACATCTCTTGGCAGCCTATCCCCGTCCACACTGTGCCCATCGCCGAGGACAGGGTAAGCCTGGCCCACCCTTCCCTCGAGGCGACGGCAGGGACGACTCTGGCCATTGGCCTGCTGATCCCCGACTCCTTCTCTGCCTCTGCTTACCCGCCCCGGCCTGCAGCTGCTGAAGTTCCCGTTGGGCCCGTGCCCCCGCTTTGAACAGCTGCAGAACGAGACCCGGCGGACACCCGAGTATCAGAACGAGAGTGTTCAGAATGCAGTGAGTGGGGCTGAGGTGGAGGGCACCACCCCGACCTTCAGCCCCGGGCAGGACTAACCCCCTGATCCGTGTTTCATAGCAATTCCTAGATATGGTGGCCAATGAGACAGGGCTTACGGACCTGACGCTGGAGACCGTCTGGAATGTCTACGACACGCTCTTCTGCGAGGTAAGCTGGCTCAGGTCTTCTCTCACACCTCAGCAGGCCTAGGTGCCCAGGCCAAGTAAAACACTGGACGCCATGCCCGCTGGGGAGGTCCAGGCAAGCCACCTCTTGTGAAACAGAAGAATTTCCCTCACGGGTGAGAAAACCTCAGAGTGGGAAATAGTTTGTTGATTGTCAGCAGTTCCTGCTTCTCCCCACTCAGAGCTCTCGTGGTATCTGACTCCATTCTGCTGAGTCATACTTTTGGGGCCCGAGCCTCCTTTCCTGTTCCCTGCCTCCTCCTTCTCCTTGACACCCTCCACCACGTCTCCCGATTCCAGACCCTCTGCCTCTCCTTTGCCTCCCCTCACACACACACAGGCACCATACCACCAGGAAAGAGAGCTGCTCCTGGGAGAGGCTCTGGCTGGGGCTGGGGAGCTAACCTGCCCGCTGCCGCACACAGCAGACACACGGGCTGCCCCTGCCGCCCTGGGCCTCGCCCCAAACCATGCAGCGTCTGAGCCGGCTGAAGGACTTCAGCTTCCGATTCCTCTTCGGGATCTACAAGCAGGCAGAGAAGGCCCGGCTGCAGGGGGGTGAGTGACAAGACCAGCATGTCACTCCCCTGAAAGAACCCGACAGCTTTAGAAACCTTCTGCAGGGGGGAGCTTCTCACACACTTACTTGGCTACCGGAAGAGTTCTCTGCTCTTTGAGGACCAGCTAACCCTAGTTATCCCGTCAGTCATCAAAGCCTCCCCAGTCCCCCAGATGCTAAGCACATTTGTCACTTATACGAGTGACCACAGTTAGGCTGGTGTGTATCTTTTTTTTTTCGGTGTGTATCTCTTCTGCCATTCATTTTTTTTAAGTTTCACCCATATCAGGAAACCCTCCATCCCCTCAAATAACTCTCTACCTCCCCCAAAGGACCACCTGGGGCCATTCTGAAAGAAGGCCAAGAGTAATACACAGGCCACATGCTGATCTGATTACTCAAGGGAGCGCCAGCTGTCAGACCTTTCCGACGTCTCAGAAGTTTTCCGAGTCTGCCCCTGACAGAGTTCCCCTGGCCTGGTGCCGCCCTCTTGTGTTCCTTGAAGCAGTCTTAGGTGTACATTTGTTCCCAACTGGAGTAATTCTTCAAACACAGGCAGGGCCTCATAGCTCCTTTCTAAATAACTGGGCAGGTTTCTGCACCTGTGTTGAAATAGAGATATCTTGTTTTATCTTGCTTCCTTCTGTAAATTTGCAAGTTCTTAAGAGAGCAGGGGATGCTGCTCCCTGAGTTTGTGGGATTGCTCTGACGTGCCCTCTCTGCTGGTGGTCAGACCCAGGGCGGGCAGAGGGTGAGAGGCCCTCAGGTAGGTCTGGTCGGAAGATGGTGAAGGCCGCAGCTGCTGACACGGGGGACTGTCTCCCTCAGGCGTCCTGCTGGCTCAGATACGGAAGAACCTGACGCTGATGGCAACCGCCTCCCAGCTCCCGAAGCTGCTGGTCTACTCTGCGGTGAGCTCCCATGGTCCCCAGGGGGCTCACGGCACGCGGAAGCTGGGTTTCTCCTCTCTTGGGTATCTGGGGTTGGCGAGGGGGCGCGGTGCTGATGGGAAGCCCTCCTCCCTTACAGCACGACACCACCCTGCTGGCTCTGCAGATGGCGCTGGGCGTCTACAACGGTGAGCAGGCCCCCTATGCGTCCTGCCACATGTTTGAGCTGTATCAGGAGGACAGTGGGTGAGTGGAGCTTGCGGTCTGTCCTCGGGAGGGGCGCTCTAGTGGAAGGTGGGGACTGTGGGCAGCCTGAGAGTACGCTGTTGGCCTGGGGAGCCACTCCCATCATGTCTCCTACCCGCCCGCAGGAATTTCTCGGTGGAGATGTACTTCCGGAATGAGAGTAACCGGGCCCCCTGGCCCCTGACCCTGCCCGGCTGCCCTCACCGCTGCCCGCTGCAGGACTTCCTCCGCCTCACGGAGCCCGTCGTGCCCAAGGATTGGCTGCAGGAGTGCCAGCTGGCAGGCGGGCCCGCAGACACAGGTGAGCCGCTGTCTGCCCCCGCGCGGGCCGAGGCCCAGAGGTCTCCAGAGGCTGACGCACTTCCAGTCCTGGTGCAGGTTCCCAGACAGTCCCCTTCCCACCCTGAGACGTGCTCCTCACCCTCAGGCGACGCCTTTCTCACAGCTGAGAAAAGCCACGCAGCTGGGAGGGAGAGAACCGTCTCATCCTCCCACCACAGGGTGTTCCGGCCTTCTCGCTGGCATGAGCCCCCGCTGGGGGCCCATCTTTCCACGTACGCCCTAGGTTCGTTTCTTCTCACCAAGTGGGCCCCGGTGCTCGGTGACTGCCAGATCAGTCCCGTCGCAGAGCCTAACAGACTCCTTTGGCCTGCCTCCTCCTCCGGCTGCCACTCCCGTCCCCCGCCTTTCGGATGGGATCCTTCAAAGAGTTGCCTAGACTCGGGTGTCACCTCCTTGCCGCTCCTTCTCAGACACACACTGGACAGTCTTCCGTCACCTGCCACTCCACGGAAGTCACTGTCGAGAACCAGTGGCCTCCTCTCGCCCCAAAGCCAGTTGGCCAGTTCTTAAGTCAGCTCCTCCTGTCAGCTGCATTACTGACTCGGTCACTACTTTGACCACTTTCTTGGTTTCTCTGGTTTTCCTTCCCCCTTCCCCCAGCAGCTTGCTTTACTGGCTTCTCCTCCCCACTAACCAGTGGATGGCCCCAGGCTCATCAGCCTGGCTCTTTCCCCATTGATGCCCACTACTCCAGTGAGCTTACCCAGCCTTATGGCTTCATGTTACCATTTCCATGCTAAGTTCTTTTTATGACTCGTGACTGCTTCTTCTCTGAGCCGCAGGTTCACATATCCAGCTGCCAACTTGAGGTCTCTACGTGGGTGTCAACTAAGGCATCTCACAGTGGAGGTCTAAAGTCAAATGTTACCACTGCAGGCCTCCCCACCTTAGTAAATGCTGCCTCAGCCACCTGGGTGCACAGCATATCCCAAGGTGCCATTCCGAGTGCCCTCTTCCTCAGATCCCCCACCCCAAACCACCAGCATACCCCACCAGTCCGGTCTTTAAAATCCATGCTCTTGCTCCGTGGCTCGGTCTGCCATCACCTCGTGCCTGAAGTACTGAAAAGCTTCCTAACGTTCTTTCTGATTTTGTTCTTGGCCCTACCAGCCTATAAGCACAGCACAGTTAAATTTTTTAAAAACATGAATCGGTTCACATCACTGTGAACCTTCTCAGAAGTGTCCAGTGGCTTCCCGTCATTTGGAATAAAATCCACATTCTTTACCGTGGCCTTCCAGGCCCTGCTCGGTCTGGGCCTCCACCCTGGTCTCCTACTTGCTCAGTCTGCTCTGGTGATACTGAGTTTCTTTCCTAGACCATGTCGAGCTAATTCCCTACTGCATTTGCTTCCTATCCACCCACCTCCCCCCCACCCCCACCCCGTGTACCGTTGGCCTCAGGACCCTCTTCTCTCAGATCTTTCGTACGTCTCACTGAACAACTCCTTGGAGTCACTTTCTCGGTTACACCTTCCCTGTGACCTGCCTTGCTTTGGCTCTCTTGATGGCGTCTGCCGCTAACCTGTCCTTTCTGTCATTTGCCTGTCACGGCGTCTCCTCTCCTAGAAGGGGAAAGCTACAAGGGAGACTGTGTCTTGGGCACCTGTGACCTCCCCACTGTAGGAACGGCACCTGGCATGTGGCAGGCACCCAAACATGTGTTGAACGAACACTGACACGACCTTTCTCTCCTCCCCCGGCGCGCGCTCAGAGGTGATCGTGGCCTTGGCTGTCTGCGGTTCCATCCTCTTCCTCCTCATAGTGCTGCTCCTCACCGTCCTCTTCCGGGTGCAGGCCCAGCCTCCTGGCTACCGCCACGTTCCAGACGGGGAGGACCACGCCTGACAACCACTCAGCCCCCTTCCCTCTGCCTCCTAGGGGAGGTGGGCTGGGCCCTTGCTCCTGACTGCTGCTGCTCCCCAGCCCATGGACAGGAGACCCTGGGTTGGGCCTCCCTCTGATCACCCGCACCTAGATGAACAAGTGAGGCTCAGCTTGGCCCGAGGCACCTGTCACCCAGCATCCACGTGCCTGACATTAACCAAGTACTGTGTTGGACACTGGCTTCCTCCAAACAGAATGTGCCTCCTCCGTGCTCCCTTCTGAGGACATGAAATGTAGACAAGTGCTCCAGTTTCACTCAGGACCTAGGAGAAAAAGACTGAAGGAGACGGTGCTTGATCTGCTTGGCCTCTCCATCAAACCCTGCTCTCTCTTCCAACCCAGAGTCTCTGGCAGATGGCCCTGAGGATACAGTCTTGCCTCTCACCTCTCAGTGCTTATTTTAGTGGGAAGAAAGTCCCAACACTGGGGGTACAAACACTGGCTGCCAGGGAACCAGGTCACCCAAGAGCCAGCCAGTGACGTTTGTCCAGCTGAAGCCACCGTTAACTCGAGTGAGACGTAATGCCTTCAGCATCTTTGTCACCCCTCACCTTGAGCCGGTTGGAAGGAGGTTTGTGCTTGGGAGGGAGTCAGGGGTGGCGGAGAGGGGACGGTGAGTTGTGGTACAGAATCCTGAAACCACTGTCCCCACCCTTAGTGGGAGTGGGATCCCTAGGTTGTGAGCTGAACAGCTCTAGACTGTGGCCCAGAATAGGACTGAGACAGCTTCCAGAGAATGAAGGTTTGGGACTCCCAATGCTGATTCTATGCCTTTTCTTCATTCTGGGGAGCTGAGGAGCCCTTTGACCAGATCAGAGCTAGAAGACCGACTCAGAAGCTCAGTTGGGTATGGTTTTATTGGCCATGTGAATAGTGAGCACAAATTGAAAACCACTGCCTGACCCTCTGCCACTGCATGTCAGAGAGGAGAAAGAAGAGAAGCTCGGCTCCAGGCTAGATACAGCAGAGACCCTTGGGGCGGCGAGATTGCCAACTCTGGAGTTTCTGGTCTCAGTCCACGCCCGTGTCCAGTCCCCGAGTCGCGGTCCCAGCGCCCCAGCTCCAACTCGAAGACTCCGATACCTCGGCCCTTTAATACGAAGCTGCCTCTTCTCAAAGAACTTGTTCTCGTGGGGCTCCAAGCCCCTGCTTGGCCCCCGCTTCATTAATGTCTCTCATTTCTGAGTCCCAGCATCCTCCGGGCTCCAAACGAGAATGTGATAACCTAGGAGGAGTGAGACCAGAGGCACCTTCCATCACCAGCCTTCTGAGAACTTGGAGCTGGCATGGGGAACCTAGGACTTGGTCAGGAGACACCAGGCAACTGGGCAGAAGCCAGGCATTGCTATGGCCAAGACTCAGCAAGAAGGATGGCTCTAGGTCCAGAGACCGTGGTCTCCTGGTTGTCATCCTCACTGACTCTATCCTGGGGGTGGATGGAGCAGCGCTGAGCTGGGGTGAGCCCACACTGAACCTTGGGGAGTAGGGTGGGCTTGACTGTCCTAATGTACACTCACCCATCACGGAGGCCAGCGTGTCCCCCATGGGATTGAATTCATTGAGCTGCAGAGACAAGGGGATAACCATGAGGAGGGAGTGGAGGCACCAGAAGAAGGGCATGTGAGGAGTAACTGGTCATTTTTGATCCATGAGGTTGAATCCCTGCTTCCTCCCATTTATTGTTTGAGGGCCCAGGCCTCACCGACATGATACCAGAAGATTCTGGGTCATACAGCTGATACATGATCTTTCCTGAGCTTCCATCAAACATATCGATCGTCCTTAATTCATGGGGGGAACAACTTTTGAAATTAGGATCTGGGTATCGGCCCACGACAATGAGGTTGTACCGAGGATGCCAGCTTGCCTAGAAGATGGAGAGGCAGGTCACAGGAGTAAGCTCAGAACAGCATTGAGAGGGACATAAGAAGTATATTTGCCAGCGACAACAATGGTTCATACAACTGCCAGCAATTTAACAACGGAGGTAAGACCTACATGAAACAAGAAGAATGGTTTTGAAGTGCATGTGCATCTACCATCGCAAATGTAAAATCCCCAGCAGGCCTCCCTGTGATCCTTAGGACACATTCAGGCTTTCTCTCTTTGCATTTCCTGACATTGTACCAGCTGATAAGTATTTTAACATCAGCGTGACCCGAGTGAAAGTGATAGGATAGTCCCTCAGTTGTGTCGACTCTTTGCAGCTCCATGGACTGTAGCCCACCAGGCTCCTCTGTCCATGGGACGCTCCAGGCAAGAATACTGGAGTGGGTTGCTGTTCCCTTTTCCAGGGGGTCTTCCCATCCCAGGGATCTGCATTGCAAATAGAACCTCTGTTCTGAGCTCATCCCACGGGTCTCCCTGTCAGGGAGTTGAGTAGAAAATGGCGAGTGGCTGAAAAGGGGGGAGGACCCCTCTGTTCCCCAGATCACCCCACTTGAAACAAACCCAGCAGTTACTAGGATGACAGAACTGGATGGGATTTTCCCAAGAAAGCTTTTCAGGGAAGTTCTGAAGGGTTAGCAGGAAGAAAGAAGTGCTGCAGGCAACGGCTTGGAGATAAGTCACAAGTCACACCTGGGACACTGCTGGGCTGACTGATTGATACCAAGAGGGAGATAAGGAAGAAAGGATCAATGGGAACACCAACTGCTAAAGGGCTGCTATTACAGAGAGCTTGGATTTGATTTGAGGTACGTTATGCTATGCTAAGTTGCTCAGTCGTGTCCAACTCTTTGTGACCCTATGTGACCCTGTAGTCCACCAGGCTCCTCTGTCCATGGGATTCTCCAGGCAAGAATACTGGAGTGGGCTGCCATTTCCTACTGTAGGGTTGAGGTACGTGGGGTCCATTCTAATACCAAATCATTATTGTTTGCTGAGTACTTACTAGGCGCCAAGCATGTTGCCACATGCTTAAAGTACATGAGTTCATTCTCACAACAACTCTGTCAGTTAGATACTATTATTCCCTTTTTATAGATGAGGAAACTGGGATCCCAAATTTGAATTACTTGCTGAAGGAGTCTAACCTGGGGGGTGCAGGAATGGGGTCTGCCTGCCTGAACTCTGCTGACTACAGAAGTGCAGGTATGAACTCTGGAGGTCCGAAGAGGGGCTGCGGTTCTAGAAAAGAATATAATCTAGACAGCAGGAGGACCAGCAGAGTTCAGACTGCTTGGGGCGGGGGGCCGGCAGGCATGAAGGACTTGAAGACTGGGAGCCTTGGGGTCTAAGGCTAGAGAAGCCACAAATGGCTTAGCTAACTAAACCAAGTTAGTTTGTGGGTCAGCTGCATACAGAGGTAACCGAAACAGGGCAGAACAGAGGATCAGGATCTCAGAAAGTGCCCCACAGAGAGGAGATCTGGGCTGCGTGGAAAGAACTCAGGAAAATCAGCTTATCAAAGAGCATGAAGAAAACTCAGCAAAATGGGCTCACAGAGCTGCAGCAAAGGTGCAGAGCGAGCCAGGGCAAGAAGAGGGCTGGGACTGCAGGTTTCCCTGGCCACCGCCGCCTCCCCACCATCACTTACCTTGATGGGCGTCAGGTGCTGGAAGTGGCGGTGAGGATGTGGGATCAGGCTTGGCGGGCAGTCCCACTGGCAAGCAGAGTAAACCCGGATCTCACTCTTCTGGTCAGTGGTCAGGAGCTGGGCTCCATCGGGACTGAAATGAGCTGGCAAAGCGAAAAGCCCCTGAGCTCAAGGGACCCCAGGTGGGCCCTATCCTGGCCCTCACAGACCTCCTGCAGGGGCACCTCCCTCCCACTTCTTTCTAGAGACGGGCGGCAGGGCCGTGATCTGGGCCATGAAACACCCAAGAGGGTCAGCAGCTGAGGGGGCAGCTAGAGACAGGAGGGCTCAGGACCTCTGCCTGGCCGATGCTGTGCGGAGTTAAGGTCTGGCTGAGTGGCTTCTACGCTTTGCGGGAGAGGCCCTGAAGCGGCGGGTCGGCGGGGTCTGCAGGAAGGCTGAGGTCTGGTATATCACACCTGCGTTGACAGGATGCCTGTGCGGCAGCGAGTGGAGGAAGCTGGATTTCCCTCTGACCTGGCGCAGGTCCCAGATTTTCACCGTTTGATCTACGGAGGCTGTGGCCAGGAGCCAGTCACAGCACGGGTTCAGGGCCACATGGGTCACCTTCTTTTTGTGCATTCTCAGATTCCAAAGCTGCGGACAAGAGCTCAGTTCAGGCTGCGGCGCAGAACCGAGGCTGGGGGTCAGGAAGGGAAGGGGAGGGCCTGGGCTCTCGAGAACGCACCTCCCTGCCGTCCATGTTCAGCAGGATCACGTGCCCCACATTGTCTCCCGTGACCACCACTCGGCTTTTGACAGATACATCCAGGCTGCAAAACCAGACGCTGGAGGGAGAGATTGTGCTGTAAGACTCTTAGGGACAGAGGCAAGTTGCATTTATTCACTGCTGCAGCTCATGTCTCACACACAGTAGACAGTCAATAAATATCCGTTGAGTGAATGAATATCTTGTCATGGACTCCTAGTAAGGAGCACTCACTTGTCCGCCATTCCGACAAAGGGTTATGGGGGTGATGGGGCTCAGAAACTTGTCCAGTTACTTCTAGGCTCAGGATCCTCACGTGGTAAGAGTCCCCGAAGCAGCCAAACCCAGAGCCGTAAGGCAAGTCCTCAAGTCGGGGCTTGCCCCCTCGAGCGCTGAGGAAGACTCAGCTATTGTTTTCTCTCTTCATTCTCCACCCTCTGGGCCAAAGGAGATGACACTCCAAACAGGGGCTGCCCAACTGTTCCTCACTGCTGGCTGGAAAGGAACTCCTGCCCCCTCTGAGCACTTCCAGCTTGGAACTACCTGCTCTTTCTGTGGCTCAGACCACTTGCTATGAAGAGACTGGGGTCAGGAGGGGTGGGGGGAGCTCCAGGGATCCTCATACCCAATCAGGAGAGCCCAGATTCACATTTTCCCCTCAAATCTCTGCTACCCTGCTTTTTGCATCCCTTGTAAACATCTTTCAGGAGGAGGGCTCCTTGTGGAAGAGTAAGCCCATCTGTCACCTGTCCTGTTGCTCCTGTATTTCTTACCTCCGCCTGGCAGCCCAGTGCTAGGCAGAACCCCACAACCTCACACACTTGGGGAGCAGTCAGATCTCTGACTGGAAACCAAAGTGACAAGCATTTTGGAATTTCTCTAGCCACTTGCTCTTGGGGAGTCCAAAGTGCTTTGTGGACATGATTCTATCCATTTAGGCTTCCATCAAGGAGCTGGATAGGTTGTTACACCCCAGTGAAAGCAGGGAATGGACTCTTAAAGTTCTTAGTTCCTGCTCCAGGCTTTAAGTAGTTTTCTAGACTAATGCATGTCGACTTGTCCAGTGAGAATCCAGGTCTAGTCGGATACAGGAAGGACTGATCAGAGCTGAGACCCTTCCCTTGCTGAGAAAAGCTGAGGTTCTAGAACCTGTCCCTGACACAGGAACCCAGCTGGCCCAGAGGAATAGCAGCTAAAGAGAGGGAAGGATGAAAAGGAGCTAACCCCTTCCTTCCCCGTGCCAGGTTTGGGGAAAATAAACGGGGTCCAGGTACTCTCGCCACAACTACACTGAGAGCCTAGAAGCCGTTTCCCCTCTTGAGTTGAAACTACTCACTTGCAGGTGTCTGAGCTGGCAAAAACTCGGAGAGTGTTGCCTTTAAAGTCTTGCAGCCTAGTTGTTCCCTCCATTGAGGAGGTGAAAAACTGGTTGGTATTGAGAGGGTTAAACTTCAGCCCCGTGATGCTCCCTCCAGCTCCAATCTAACACAAGGAAGAAAAAAGTCAGTGAGTGACAGTGGCCCATGAAGCAGACAAAGCTTGGGTGCACATCCACTGCTTGGACACACATCCACTGCTTGGACACAAGAGCCATCCAGGCCACACTTGGGGCCAGGCCAGCTTAGATGCCTAGACACTGGGATGCTGTCCACAGTACTGTTTCTCAAGGCTCTCATTTTATACCTTTTAATGAACATAAATTTGTTGTTTCTGGTATACAGCTTTATGAATTTTAACACATGTAGAGATTTGAACCACCACCACCAAAATGAGGATGCAGAACAGTTGTGTCACTTCCCCCCCAAATCCCTCCTGCTCTCCTAATTGTAGTCACATCCTCCCCTGACTCCTCACCCCTGGCAACCAGGGATGAGTTCTTCGTCACCATACAAGTTTTGCCTTTGATGGAGTGTCATATCAATGACTTGTGGTATGCAGCCCTTTGAGACTGGCTTCTTTCATTTCACTCGGTGTAATGCCCCTGAGTTTCATCCAGCCTGCTCTGTCAATCTATAGTTCATCCCATTTTATTGTTGAATAGCCTATTGTGTGGATGTACCATAATGTATTATACAAGTGCTCTCTTCAGAAGAGCTTCAGCTTGGAATAGTGGCTGGGTTAGGTGGGCTGGTGTCAGACCCGAGCTCCTCATTTTTTGCAGACATACCAGACAATGATGATGAAGATAATCATGATAACATTGGTAGCATAACCTTATTAAGTGCTTATTATATATCAAGTGCACTGTTTTAAGAACTTTATATCCTCCAGGCTCCTCCTCCAGTTCTCCTGTATGTTGTTGCTATCCCAGCCTTACTTCTTCAAGGCCTCTTACACAACATTCACTTCACTCAGCATACTAACTGGTACTTTCCATTCCCTCTATAAAACATTCTAACTGATGCCTATGGTTCACCAAACCCTTGCTGCTAGTAAGTTAATCTGCTCCCACTAGCTGAGTTCTATGCTTATGAAGGGTTAGACGTTGTGTTTGCTCTTAAACCTAGATATGTCAGTTGTACTTTGTATGGTAATCATGTAATTTAACTAAACATGTAATTTATTAAACATTTAAACTTTAAACACAAAACATTTCATTAAAATGTAATTTAATTAAAATCGATGAAATATGTGCAAAAAGAATGACCACTGTGGTTTCTATGAAATCCATATTGAACACTTTGGAAAAACTAGATAAAAAAGATTTGCTAAAATAAGAGTTGTTGAATTAAGCATGGGAGAAATACTTACAATCAGGGTGGGAAATAGTGAAAACTTAAGGGAATCTGCCATCAGACTGCTTCACAACTGATTTTAAATTATGTCTCCACTTTTGGGAAATGGAAACTAGACCCTGTAAAGTACTCGTTATGGATACGGTTTATGTAAGACCAGATGAACCTGAATCAGTGAACACTTACTACAAGAAAAGGACTGGCCCTGTGTCAAAGCATTAGTAATAAACCCTTATGTAAACATTTTAAGGTAAGATGCATTCGTGTTCTTCTAGCAAGGGTGGATTAAGTTGTTATGACAGCTCTTGCACTGAGAAGGACTACATAAACCTGGACAAAATACAAAAAAGAAAATGTGTTTGAGACTTTCCAATTCCAGTGACGGTGGGTTAGCTGGTTTCAGGTCAACCTTCTGTCAAGAAAAGCTAGAAAAGGTAGATAAGGTACATGTTCTCAAAGTTTCTGAAGTCAACGAAGAGCTATCAAGGCACCAAGGATTTCCAAGTCCAGCCTCCTAGAGGGAAGAGAAGCAGAGAGTTAAGTCTGACATTTCGATGCTGCTTTTGCTCCTGAGGCCTATGCATATGAGAAAGCTGTATGGCTAAGCAGTTCAGCAGAAGTTCTGTCAATCTCAAGGGAGGCAAAAACAGAATTCAGACCTGTCAAAGAGGAAAGGTTTTAGAAGAAAAAAAAAAATGCAGTTTTAAGTTAGGATCCCTGAAGCCCTAGAAATAACAGCAAATGAAACAGACCATCCCTCATGAAGACTGAAGTCCACATTCATTTCAATCTCTGATTAAGATGATCTGATTCTACCTGACCTGCCTTCCAGAGGGAAAAAATTCTTTTTGTGAGCACACTCAAAACTTCAAATTCTATCTCTGCAAATTTTCATATATATTTGGCATCAAATCTAAAATTGTCCAGCATATCAGAAATCAAGAACAAATAACCAATCAAGAGAAAAAACACCAGCTTAAAGACATTCACAGAAGATCCAGGTATTGGTGCTATTAGACACAGGCTTTAAAATAATTGTAAGTAGTATACATTTTAAAAAGAGACCTAATTAAAAAATGGACAAAGAGAATTCCCTGGTGGTCCTGTGTTCAGGACTTGATGTTTTCACTCACATGGTTGGGGTTCAGTCCCTGGTTAGGGAACTAACATCCCACAAGCCCCATGGTGCAACCAAAAAAAGGACAAAGGATTTCAACAGTCATTTCTCCAAAGAAGATATACAAATAGCCAGTGGCACATGAAAAGATGCTCAACATCATTAGTCACTAGGGAATGCAAATAAAGGCCACAGTGAAATACTATTTCACATCCACTAGGATGGCTATAAACAAAAAGACAATAATGAGTGTTGTAAGACAGCCTATGGAATGAAAGAAAATAGTGCAAACTATATCTGATGAGGGATTAGTATTAACATATAAGGAACTTGGACAACTCAATAGCAAAAAAAGAAGAAACAAATAATCTGATTAAAAAAATGGACAAAGATTGAATAGGCATTTCTCCAAAGACATACAAATGGCCAAAAGGTATATGAAAAGGTGCTCAATGTCACTAATCATAACAGAAATACAAAATTATGATATCACCTCACACCTAGTTAGAATGACTATTATCAAAAAGACAAGCGATAACAAGTGCTGGCCAAGATGTGGAAAAAGGGAACTCTGGTATATTGTTGATGGGAATGTAAACTGGTAGGGGCATTATGGAAAATAGTATGGAGGTTCCTCCATGAAAAACTCAGAAGGGAGCTACCAAACTATCCAGTTAATTCCACTGAGTATATATCAAAAGGAAATGAAATCAGTTTCTCAGAGTTCTGTCCTCCTGTGTTCATTGCAGCATTATTCACAATTGCCAAGATACAGAAACAACTATCTGCTGATCAATGAATGGATAAAGAAAGAAAATGTGATATATATATATATATATATATATATATATATATATATCAAGTGGAACATTATTCAGCCTTAAAAAAAAGCAAATCCTGCCATTTCTGACAACATGGATAAACATGGAGGATGTTATGCTAAGCGAAGTCAGACACAGAAACATAAATACTGCATGACCTCACTTATGTGCAATCTAAAAAAGTCCCTCACAAAGGCAGAGAATGTGGTTGCCAGAGGCTGAAAGGGGGTAGGGGAATGGTGAGATATTTGTCAAAGAACACAGAGTTTCAACTATTCATGAGATCTAATGTATAGCGTGGTGACTATAGTTAATAACTGTACTGTATATGTGAAATTTTCTAAGGGAATAGATCTTAAGTGTTCTCAGCATACACATACAAAACTATGTAAGATGATGGATGTTAATTAATTAGCTTGATTGTGGAAATCATTTCACAATATATACATGTATTAAAACATCATGTTGGGACTTCTCTGGTGGTCTAGTGGTTAGGACTCTGTGCTTCCACTGCAGGGGGCTCAGGTTCCATCCCAGGTCAGGAACTAAGAGCCCACATGACACAGCCAAAAATAATAAATGAAGCAAAAACAAAACCACAGTATGAGGTACACTAAATATGCACAATTTTTATTTGTCAGTCAAGGATGTGGAGGAACTGAAGCCCTCCTACATTGCTGGTGGGAAAGTGAAATGGAGTAGTTGCTTTGGAACACAGGCAATTCTTCAAAAAATTAAACATACAATTACCATATGGCCCCAAAGATACATATACCCAAGAGATATATAGTCAAGAGAAATGAGTATGTATGCTGATATAAAAACTTGTATGCAGATATTCACAGGAGTATTATTCACAATAAAAGTTAAAAAAGCCTAAAAATCAATGACCCAAACATCCATCTCAAGAAGCTGTAAAACAAACAAGAAGCTAAAACCAAAGAGAGTAAGAGGAAAAAATAGAAATGAATGAAATAAATACACTGTGGAGAAAATCAACAAAGCCAAAAGTTGGTTCCATGAAAAGACTAATATAATTAAAATGATAAATCCCAGCTGAGAATGACCAAACAAAGGCGAAAGCACAAATAACAAATTTAGTGGATGGAAAGACATCTTAAGACATTTTAAAAAGTAATAAGAGGACATCATAAACAATCTTTTGCCAATAAAATTGAAAATTCAGAGGAGATAAACAAATTCCTAAAATAGTACAAACTTGCCAAACTGACAGAAGATGAAAAGGAAAAATCTGAATAGTCTGATCTGTATTAAAGAAACCGAGTCACAACTAAAAATTTTCTTGCAAAGTAAATTCCAGATCTTAACGGCTTCAGTGGTGAATGTACTAAATATATATATATTTTTTAAGTTTATTTTCAAACGATCTCAAACTCATAGAAAAGCTGTAAGAACAGCACAAAGAACTGTTTTCTTCTGGAACCATTTGGTAATAAATTGCCAGCATGAAGTCCCATCACACTCAGATACTTTACTGTGTACTTCCTAAAAGAATATTCTCTGACATAGCCCCAGAAAAAGCACCAAAACTGAGGGTATCTAAAGTAGTTCAGACTCATAGAAACAGAAAGTAAACCTGTGGCTGCCAAGGGCTGGAAGGAAGGGGAAATGGTGAGCTGTTACTCAGTGGGCACACAGTCTCAGTTTTACAAGATAAAAAAATTCTAGAACTCTGTTGCAAAAAATGGGAATACAGTGTTAACTGTGCACTTAAAAATGGTTGAGATGACACAAATTCAGGTTATGTGCTTTTACCACAGTTTTTAAAAGAAGCAATATCACTTGCTAGAAATATAATTGTAAAGGTTAAAAAGTGGAGGAAAAAAAGAGAACATTTAAATAAAAAAATCAAATGTAACTAATAAACCAAAACAAATAAAAAACAATCAGTGTAGCTTTTTTAATAGCACAGATAAGGAAAATCATATGCTGACCTCAACAGACACAAAAGTATTTGAAAAAATTCAATTATCATTCATGATAACAGCTTCTGGCAAACTAAGAACAGAAGAGGAACTTACTTAATCTGATAAAAGGTATTAAAAACAAACAAGCTCCCAGGTGCATACCCCAGAGAACTGAAAACAGTTGTTCAAACAAAGACTTGTACCTAAAGGAACATTCATGGCAGCTGAATCAAAATAGCAAGGCAGAAACAATCCAAATGTTCAATGACAGATGAGTGGCAAAACAAACTTTGGTATAACTTATACAATGGAATATTATTCAGCCTCAAAAAGGAATAAAGTACTGAAACCTGCTACAACATGGATGAACCTTGGAAATATTATGCTAAGGAAAAGGAGCCAGACCCCCAAGGGCAAATATTGTATAATTCCACTTACATGCAGCACCTGGGATTGTGAAATTCAGAGACAAAAAACAGATCGGGGGGCTAGGGAAGAGGTAATAGTTATTATTTAATGGGTACAGAGTTTTATTTTGGGATAAAAAAGTCCTGGAGATGGATAGTGGTAATGATTGCACACTATAAATGTACTCGGCGACATTGAACTGTATGCTTTGAAATGGTTAAAATGGTAATTCTCATGTTATATATAGCTTATCACAATAAAAAGCAGCAGAAATTTTAATGGTAAAACATAAAAGCCTTCTATAATCAAGAACAAGATAAGAATGCCTGTTGGAGCAAACATTCAGCAAGTTACGAGAGGTCTCAGCCAATGGGATAAGGCAAATAAAAAAGAAGTGTAAAAATGGTAGAGGAAGAAATCAAACTCTCATGATTTACGGTGGACAAGATTGTATAGGAAAAAAGTTTAAAACCCTCAGAGAAACTATTAATATGAATTTCTACTTCCAACCATGATGGAGTGTCAGAAACCATATATATCCTTCTGCTTTAACAAAACTAAAAAAATGGAAAAATATATGAAAAGTTTTCACACACTGGCCAACAGGCAGCACAAGAGGGAAAAGAATGAGGCAGCCATGTGACTGCCCCAATTTAACGCTTGGAGAGCATATCCAGGCTGCAGCATAGGCAGGGAGGACCCAAACAGCCTAATAGTCTCAATGGGCTCAGGAGACATTTGGGAAAGCCAGCAGGGCAAGAATTTGTATGGCAAAATGCTGGAGAGGCTGATGTGCAGAGAGAGCATTATGGATATTTTCAGAGGGGTACCCTCAGGCCTTTGAGTAAATAATATTGTGTCAATGTGTATAAGGAAACTATATAAGGCTGGGGTGGGAGAAGGAAGACATGAGAAACTAACAGGAGGAGAAATCCTCAGAATGGTCTACATTCTCACCATCCAGAATGAAAAGATTCTTAACATACAGAACATCAAGCAGAATCCTCAGAGGGGTACTGTCTCAGGGTGAGCCCAAAATCTAGACTATAGGCTGCTTTAGACCCAAGCTAACTGGAGTGGACTGAATAATGATAATGGATAGTTATCCAGTTACCCAAGATGTCTATGCTGTGACCCCTGGATCCTGTGAATATTTAAATGACAAAGGGAAAGAAAAATCACACGAAGAGGAACATAGGATGAAAGCAGACTTCACATAAGAAGTCATCTTTAAAGTACT